ACACAGAAACCACATAAATTGCATTCAAAACAAAGTCTTATATATATATATATATATATATATATATATATATATATATATAAACGTAGCAATAAAAGCAAAGGATTCAAATAAACTACGAGAAACCATAGAGATAACTAAAGAGGTTTATTTACCAAACATATCTTTTTTTTTAAATGGCAGAGCTCCAAATCCCAAATCAAAGGCAAAGACCCTTTTGAGAGTTCATTACCAAAGTTCAGGCCTTTTCGCCGGCCAGAAGATCCAGCACCACACCCTTAATGCTTCCATTGTTCTTCTTCAGCAGTCTCTTGTTCGTTTCATTGTCATGGAATCCCTGCAAACGACAGGTGAAAAAAAACCCGATTTTCAACAAAAGATTTCGACTTTTTCTTCTTCCAGGGCTTGCAACCCGATCGTATGATATTTTACACAACTGGGTTTCGGTAAATACAAGTCGAAAGCACTATAGAAGACCTTATTACCATCTCCTGGAGTTCTTCGAGGATCGGGTCCCAGTCAGAAACTCCACAAAGGGCGTCAACAGATTGTTCCAAGTTGTACTCGTTCTTCCTCAAGATCTCCTTGTTAAGATCAATTTCCTTGAAACCCATCTCCTCGAGTTCCTTAAGCAGGGCTTGCTCGACGTCATTCTTTCCGTCGAGTCCCGTGAGCAGGTCTTGCTCAGAACCACTCACTTCCTTACACTTGTCAAATGAAATCGGTATCTCCTTGGAAGAGGAAGGTCCATGTGATGCCTTGGCCGGGGCTATCAGCTCTGTTAAGTCAATGATTTGGCTTGAAGAAGACGAAGGAGCATGTTTAGGATGAGAAATGGGAGGAGGAACTTTTCCAATCCGCAAACCATTCTTTTCCATGGCTTCGGATTCTTCCACTTTTGGTTTCAAATCGGCGATGGGTGTAAGAGCTTCCAAGATAGAGACTTCACTAGAGCTATCTTCATCAGGAGAAGCATTTAAGTTCAGTCCATGGAACCCACTTACGACAGAGTTCTTCAATGATGCATCAACCTGTACTCGAAAAAGTATGAGCAAAGAAATTTAACCGAGAAAAAATAAGTCATTAGGCAAAGAGGCACTAAAAAAAAGGGCTAGTAAGCATTGATATTTACATGGATCAGCACCCACACACGTTGCCCGAATTTAACACCAGAAGAGGAAGCCATCCTCCAATAAGATATGTAACGGCCAGGTGTCTCAGGTGCAACAAAATCCACTGCAACATCGATCTCACTGTCAATCCCCACACCCTGCAATCATTGAACGAAATAATATTAGAGACATTAGACAGATGCTTCTATGTCGATGAAACCTCATAAAGAAACAATAAAAAAAACAGACTAGCAAAAGAAAAAGATATTTTCCAAACCTCTAGATCAACGGACACCGAGTTGCCGAACCTGTCTCCACCAATCCAGACAAGCTGTGTGCCACGGGGCCATACGAGGGAGCCATTGTTTCTCATACGCCAAATCTTAGTGAATGGAGTAGATGGAGCCACTATAGTCCCGTCTATTACATTCACATCACAGACGAAACGACTGTCTAGCTTAAGCCGACCCGTCCTAAAACGTAAACCTCCCTGAGGCAGCGACTGCACAGGCGCAGGGTAGCTAACCCGAGGTTTATGACCCTATACATAACAAGAAACGGTAAGAACTTGCATGCCTTAAATAGGTAAGAGAATCTTACAGATAATGGAAAGGCACCACGTACAATCATCGCTGGTCCCGTGGTTTTACGAAAAACTCGGACTGAAGCAGGCTCGTCCATTCTGATGTAATCCCTCTCATTACCCATCTGTGAAAAGCAGGTGCTGCAGAGATCATAGTCTTCTTTCCTGAAAGCATTGAGCAAAGTTTCAAAACAATATCCTCTAATAACTTCTAGAATTCGAAGAATAAATAATTCTTACAGTTTTGACATGAACCTAGGTCCAGTGATTGGAAGAACCCCACATCCATCACAGCGGATGCCCTTATGCTCATGGTACTTACAAAAGGAAATCTTGTCTGGGCAACTAGGAGGAGGATGTTTGTTAAAAAAATTTGGGCTGGAGTCACAATTCACAGGAGTGCCACTAAATGGACATTCATTGAAACCCGCACCCGGAAATGACAAGAAGGAAGCAGGAAAGGTGGTGGTCTTTGGAGGGACACTAGGTGACAGAGCAAAGGGTCTCCATTGGTTCCGAGTCTCCTTCGAAACATTCTGCTCACAAGAGGAAGGGCCTTTTCCATCAGACGGAGGCTCCAAATTCAGATCAACCACAGGTACATTAGTAATTAGCACCTCCCTGCCCGAGGAAGGACCTGAGGTTGTGGACCCCGATGGCAACCCTCCATCTCCAGAGACGGTCTGAGTGACAAGTGAGGAAGGACTACTTTCACGAGGATGTGTCACTTGGCCCAGCTTGGAAATACAATGGAGCATCTCCCCAACTACAGGACTGCTGGATACAGTGCTGGATGCTAGGTCCATAGATACTTTTGAGATGGTATCACGCAGTGGATTTGGCACAGCCATCAATATTTCATTCAGACCCTCGTGAATTTTGGTAAGGTGGTCTTCAATATGTGGCAATCCCACCACAGGTGTTGAACACTCACTACTCGCTGCAGAAGACGAGGCAATTGAGATGCCGGTTTTCAGTTGAGCGTATATTTTCAAGAATCTAAGGCGCTGATTCACCACATCATGAAGATCATTGTCATCAACAAGGGTCACCATATCTCCATCTTCATCGGTGTAAGTCAGAGACAGTTCAGCATCCACCGGGAGATTAAAGAGAGAAATGATCTTCTCCCGAAGATGGGTCATGTCAATATCAAGCTGTCCATTTGCGTTAACAGGCACCCTGAAACGTCGAAGCACACTTCCATAGTTCACCTGCACGCATCATACAAGGGGATTTAAATGACATTTGGGTTGAAGCACAAAAAAAATTACATCAATATAGTGTCCAAAACGAGTCAGTTTGGCAAATTGGTCTACTAAAAATGCAAAAAGGACAAAATAAGTTTAAGAAATGCTTGGGTGATCGAAACAGAAACAAACACAAACACAAATACAAAGTCGATCAAATTGATGAAGAAATAAACGTAATTTCTTACCACTCTCAACGTTTATGTTTCTTCAAGCAGATAAACCGGAGTAAATCGACAACAATCGAATAAACAGTGGAACAAAAAAGTATCAAACCAGTGTCTGAAACAGGCAGCGCAAATCAGGGGGAAAACCCATGAAAATTCACGAGTCGACTATTAGTGGAAATGCTAAGCCCAGAAGCAGCTTACAGTTTCAACAATTTCCCTTCCCTTTCCACAAGATAGAATTGATGAAGAAGAACATGCAAAATCCAGAAAAGAACCCTAACAAAAAGAAGGAAAAAAAGACAAAAACACGAGAAACCCAGAACTGAGAGCAGAGAAAAGATCAAACCTTGATCACAAGTTCAGTACAAGGCTCCATCTCTGGCGCGTTCCCGTTAGCCGTGTACAAGCCCTAATTACCAAAACACGAGATAGAGTAATGTCTATCGATATATACATACGTGGATTCAGAGAAATCAAAGAGATGATCGGGAATCGGAAAAGTTCCCAAGAGGCGTACCCGTAATCCGCTTTTATCGCATTAGAATATCGAAAATGCGAAGATAGGTATATATAGATATAGAGAGAGACGTTTGCGTGTGAATGTGAATCTAGGCAGCATAAATAAATAGAAATCATGATAATTAATTAATTTAATAATACGAAACAAATTATACTATGACTTAGCCAATAAGAAATAGACTTTTTGGGGCTCCAATAAAAAGAAATTAATTTGGACAAATATATATCTATATATATATATATATATTTGTGGGAGCTGTAAGTAAATGGATAGTCATTGAATTGGACAAGTGGATGTATGATATAATAAAATTTACAATTGGTTTATATAGTTAGTATAACATCTGCAATCCATAACAATGTCATCGTTCATTAATTTTCTAATGAAGTTAATAGAACATTATTTTAAGTGTCAGTTCATCTTAGAGTATTTCTTTAACATTATAAAGCCGAATTTTCATAAACTAACTGAATCTTAAAAAAATCTAAAAAAATAAAAAATCTAAAATTTTCGTAATAAAAATCGGAATCGAAAATGAACTGAAAATAATATAATCACAAATTGATACGTATTTTTATAAAAACGAAAGAATTGAATCGAATTATTTCCAACCCAAACCCGAATCTAATATCAAAACTTCCACTTTTTCTATCTTTTTTCTCCTAACTTATTGTTTTTTCAATCTCTTAGTTGAAAAAATTCCAATTAATTAAATATTATAAATGTAAAAAAAAATGATAGGTATCCAACCAACTAAAATTTTTCATATTTCTTGAATTAGAATAAGAAATAAATCTTTTTAGATATCTTACTTTTGTGTTAATGAGAATAACCATTTCAGATTTCTTATTTAAATTGTAAAGATCGGGATTTAAGTAAAATAAATAAATTATATTTGAATAAGTTATGTGTGTTATCTGAATCATTAAACATAATATATCGATATCAAATCTCATTAACCTAACTAAATCATTGGATTTTAGTAAAATGCCATCATATATAATATAGTTACAGAAGAAATAACAAATATTAATTATATTCTCCACCCCGTAAATTTACGATATTACAAAAAAAATACGAGATTTTTACAATTTATTAAAAAAAACATATGTATGCTAGTAGCTATTCTGTTCGAAATTAACCCATTGACTTCTCATGCCATATGGCATATGGTTATATCATTAAATAGGAAAGAAAAAATAAACAAAAAAGCCATAAAAGATTTTTTTTTTCATCTTTCTAAGTCGAAGGTTCACATCTCTCTGACGCCAACCACCGCCATGAAGCTGACGGCGACAGCGCAAGCCACGGCGACGATACCTTTCTCTCTCACCAAAACCTCCACCAAACCCACCGCCACATCCGCCGTTATCCTCTTTCCTTCCCGCGCCAAAACGCGGCGTCGCTTGCCGGAGAAAGCCAGGAGCACCAGCACCGTGATCCACGCTACCATCGTCGCTCGCGCCGCCGTCAGGAGAAGAATCGCCGCTGTGACAGCGACGGCGACGGAAACGACGACGACGGCGATGACCGAGATGTTGTTGTTGGTGCTTGATTTCGCGGCGGAGATGGAGATGAAGGAGGAGACGGAGAGAGAGAGAACACAAGTGAATGTCAATGTCACTGCCGTCGATAACGACGATGAAGGTGCTCTGGTCCTGCGAAGATCCATGGAGATCGATGGAAGAAAAGAAGAAGAGAACGCGAGAGAGAATGTGGTAAGAGTTTGCGAACGGAATCGGGATTGAAATTAAATATGGGAAATTCGAATTTTGGAGTCATTTTTTTAATTCCAAATTCAAATAATTTAGGGTTTTGGAATTGGGGAAGCATGTGAAGGCACATGGGGAGGTTGGAGTGAATGCGTTGTTCGTAAGAGGCAAAGAGTACATCATGATTGGTCCAATGTTTCACTCTGCGGGTGTGTTCATGTATATGCATCTCTACAATTAGTATTTAATTGTATAATTAAATTAAGTTAATTAACTATATCGACCCTAAACATTCCTTTAATTATTTAACTAATCAATTTAATTACTCGTGGGTTGAATCCATTCACCAATGCATACACAGGAAATGGACATACATTACCAAACACATACTATATTAAATGAGTGGCCATTTGCATTTCGGGTCTTGGATTTAGTTATTTTATTATTTGAGTTTTTTTATACTCATTTTTTTTTGCTGTATTTTGATTCGGGAGTCCTCGCTACTAATCTTCTAAAATGGTCCTTGTAATCTGTATTTAATTCGAATTTGATTAGTTTGGTTAAAATTTTGCTTTTATTCAACTTTAGACCATATTTAAATTGAATATATTATATATTGTCAAATTTAATTTTATATATTCGATTTGAAAAGATTGCTCTTATGATACACAATTAAAAATGTGAGACTTTTTAAAATTTAAATTTAATCCAAATAAAAAAAATCATGGGGGGAACTAAAAACAACTATTTTTTTATTTGTTTACCAAATACATCAACCGCTAAAGATTCCTAGAGATTGTGATTTCTACAAGATTTCGTGGTTACAAATGTTAATTATAAACACCCAATAAAACATTTAATTTATGGATCCTCGCTGCCCTTTGTTTGTTTTTCCGGCTTCTCCACTTGCATCGTTTTTTAAAAGAACAAAACCGTGGCGTCAGAAGAAGAAGTGACCGGTTTGATATCCGGTTCGATTGGATTGGTTTGTTACGGTTTAGTTTGATTTGTGTTTGTTAAGGTTTGATTTGTTAGTGTTTTCATCTTCTTCGTTTGTTAATGCAGCACAACTTCTTCATTCGATGAACACAATCGGGAAAAAGAAATTGCAAAATTCTATTTGAATTTTCTCTATAATGCAATAGAATATAATACGTGGTAATATTAATTTTTTTAATATAGTATGATACCCAAAATATTTCTCATAACACATTTTAACATTAAATTATTTACGAGACATTAAAATCGATTTCTCCAACAAATCAGAAATGACATAGAATGAAAATAAATCATTATAAGAAAATAAAATCCGTATCCGATAAATATTTTAAAATTAATATTCGTATTCGATCCGTTGACTCTGAATATCCGAATTTTTAGTTCGAATACGAATCGAATAATAGATCGATTCAGTTTTTTCGGATATTATGTCTACTCTAGTTAAGACGTTAATTGTCATGTTCTTTAGATTCTATATTTTTTCAAGCAAATCGGAATTTGATCGGATTATTGAGCTCACATTACTGCAAATGATCTTAAGGATATATATATATATATAATCGACATGATAATTTTTGAACGGATACTAAGTTTTTATATATGATCTTTTGGTCATCGTCATTACTACTGTGGTATAAATAGGAAATTAGAGAAACGGGGTCAATGGAAGAGTGTAACAAAACATATTTTTATAAAAAGTTTGTAAATTCACATTTTTTTGGCATAAAACACAAACTATAGCTATATTTCGATATATTTTTGCAAAGAAAAAATTGCGGTGAATTTCGTCAGGAAAAGGGAAAAAGACATTAAATTTTAGAGATAATATCAAACTTTTCAATTGCCTTAGCGTGAAAAACGTGAAATTCACAAAAAAAAAAAAAGAAGAGAGAGAGAGCTCTTTTAAAGAGTCTAAATATGATATATATATATATATATATGTAAGAACACTTTGAACTTTTGATTGATAGAAACTAAACTGAAATTTGCACGTTTTCCAAACGTTTCTTATTATGTAAAATTTGACATTTGATCAAAAAAGAAAAGAAAAGGAAACAATTCTGGATTATTTTGTGTGATGGATATTTTACAAAAAAAAAAAAGAAAGAAAAGAAAAGTCAACAATATATATATATATATATATATATATTAAAACTTATGGATGATTACGTATGAAATCTTATGTAGCTCTTTATATGATTGAACACTACATTGTAATGAAGGTTATATGTGATTTACGTCAAAAGTCATGAATTTTAATTAAAGGTTCCATGAATTTTAATTAAACAACACATCATCGGACCTTTTGCAAATACAAATTTATTTCAAAAATGCATTTCGTTGATCTCAAGAGACATAAATAGTTTAACAAAAAAAAAAACATAAATAATATATTTTTTTTCTTCTGAAAGTGATATACACTATAAAACTATATCCGAATTTCCACATTTTCTACGAGTTTCGACATATATTAAGGATTCGTTTCTTCCATATATATATATATATATATATATATTTTTTTTTTTTTCCAGCAGTACATACACATCAAAGGACTGGAAACACTCTCTTTTGCGTTTGTGTTGGGGAACAACCTCGTTCACGATCCACCCTTCACTGTCGGAGGCAGAAGACTTGTGTCGTGAGCGAGTGGCTGCCTCCGTAAAAATCGAAACTTACCTGCGAAAGGCAACGAGTTCATCGCCAGATTCCCGACAACCTTAACTACGGCTCGTCCCTAATTCACACTTGTAAACCTTCGAAATCTCGAATTCCTGCCGCATTTGAAACATCTTGTTTTAGGAAAGAATGCTGTCTCCATTGTATCTTCTTCTTCCATATGCTCTGTTCTTGACATCCTTTTCTTCCATAAAGCCATGATTATCCTGCCGAATCACGTTTTTAGGAGACGGAAAAAAAAACATCAAATCCAGAAGACAAGAATCCCGATGATCGATACCTGCAGGTTGCATAGAATGTAACAAACGATTGGAAATAGAAGCAAAGTCTTCCTTTCTCGTCTCGAGACTTCGCCCCGTGTTTCGCGTCAAGACCTCGATCTTGTTTCAGGATGATGAGCAGCAAAGAAGAAAACGTTCGAGGAAGAACTCGGATTTCGTCGATATCTTCCCAGAGGAAGTAAAACTTGGTCTTATGCCCAAAAAAGCTGGAGCAAAACGCCACGATTCTTGCCGACAGGAAGATCTTGCCCTGTCAATTACGGCATAAACGTAAACTTTAACGGATCTCAGAAACTTGTCTGAAGCAAAGAGATCAGAAGCAAACCTGCAGTGGCAGTTTTCTCTTCAATTGGCATGTGTATTCTTTAACAAGAAATTCCTCGTGTGGCAATCCAAACAACTTCTGGAAAGCCGAGTTCTTCCGTGGCGACTGAATACTCAACTGCAATCCATGAGACGAGGAATCAGGAACGAAATTCGGTCTTTCACGAGTATGAGACGAGTATCCGAAAATTTTAATATATACATTTTTGTCTGTCAATTTTTCACGAGTATGAGTTTGGATATCCAAATTTTTGGATACTCGGACCAATTATGTTAGTATTATGTATTTTTTTTGGGTTATAATTCTATTTTTAAAACAGTTTTTGGATTCGCAGTGAGTATCCGAACATTTTGTTGAATTCCCATAACTCGGGTACCCGAGACTTTCGGATACAAATATCTGAATTTCTTCCCACAGCATTTACCTTTGTTCCGACTTCCTTTTCCACCTCAATGAAGAAGTTCTTCATTGCTTCAATCCCATTGTTGTTTTCCAGAAAGATCCTCAAGTGAAGCTTTGATTTGGAAGCTTTTGCAAGATTACCCTCTAGAGGAACCCATAAATCCGCGAGTTCATCCGATGAATGTCTCAAGAAATTAACCTCCGCATGCCCGAGAGATTCACCATCGTCCAATGGACCATCGAAATCGAAAACCTCGACATCTAACACCGACGGCGGTTCTTCCATTGCATCAAACTCGATTACCTCTGCAAGTGATAAGAAGTCCATTGAATCAAACTCAATTACCACCTATTCAAGTAAAAAAGTTTTCTTACCGTTCCATTCGGGATCTTGAGTTTGAAGTTTTACAGAGCTCGTTCGTCTTTTCCCACGACATGTGAAAACGACGTAGGGATCAGAAAGCTCGGCCCTCGTCACCGAAGCCAAATCCATGCTCTTGATCAAAGCTACTGTGAGAATCCATCCTTTGCCAGTGGCTTTGCTTCCATGATCACTTCCTGAAATAAAAAACATGAAAAAGATTTCAATCGGATTGTGCTAGCAATTCACGATTCTTGCGTGTTTTTTAAACAAAGATCTTTCATTTAACCTCGATCATGCACTTTAGCTTGTATAAAATGCAGACTCGTTCTATACACACGCTGCAACAGAAGGGCGAGTACTACGACCGTGAAAAGCTCTCCGAGACTGTCGGGCAAATCAAGTCCACAGAACTCGAAACCTTGGACTTTGTTGGGTTCACATTGCAGAATATGCGCCATAACGTACAAAAACATAACAACGGGACAGATGACGTGGAATCTCCAGAAGTATCGGAAAGCTGATTTCAGATCAGACTTCTGTTCTGACAATGTCGCGAGAATCTGATCTTTGTCCAAGAAACCGACAGAATCCAGAGTTTTGTATTTCTTAGAAAGGAAATCGGAGAATTGTGTATAACCCTCTTTCATAACTTGTTTAGCACCTCCTTCAATCATACCTTTCATCATAGTACTTTGATGAAAGCGGATACCCCACGAAACAATCAGCTGAGAAGATTCCTCACCAGAAGGTAGCTTGGTTCCGGGTTGGATCTTGTAAAGCAACTCTGACTTAAAAGCATTACCATATAGAAGATCCGGTGTGCTTATACTAACATGAACTGCAAAATATCGTCCCGTTGCTTTGAGATAAACTTGCTCCTCGGTAGCTTTGACAGACTTCATTATCTTTTTTGGAGCTGTCATGTATGTCAAAATCCGAGTCAGAGCAGGAGGATCTCCTGGTTTCATTCTCCAAGGCCCTTCATGTAAATCTTTTGTCCCTTGAATTTCAGCAAACTCCCTCCTGAACTGCGAACTCGACGAGAAGAGAAATATGTTGAGTTCACGGGGTGAGACCAGATAATTCTGATTGACAAGAACTCCGCCCGGAAGATTCTCTGGCATCTCGTCGTTTTCTCTGTCCCTAGATTGCATCAAATCAAGCCCGTCTTCAAAGCCGGTACAAGCAGAGGGGATGGAAAATCCACCTGGGGAGTCCTTGTTATTGGATACCGAGATGTGATCTGATGAATCATTATCATTTCCTTTAGAGGCATCATCCTCTTTCTTATGACAAAGCTTATCCAGGTTACTGACAATTGCCTTCATCAGTTTCTTCCCTCCATGGTGTTTCCGACCTTTGGGGGAAACCATATCTTTAGCTGCAAAAGACAGTCTGAGAAGGATTTACCCTGTAAGACCAGAACACAGATCATAAGCATATACATATATAATAAAAATTTGCATGTACATATATATACACAGCATAGACCAACAGAATATTGCTAAAAGTGGGAAGACACCAAATCCATAAACCCCAGAGCCCCCACTTGTTCTAAGCTATCATCTCAGAGAGTTTCTTTGATAAAAAATAAAGGCGAAATCGAGGAAGAAACTTGGATTATTCCGAGAACCCTTTTTGTCTCACGACATGATGATGATGCCGAGAAACATGGCAGCTCGGAAATAACATTACCTATCGATTTCCCGAACAGACGAAACAGAGATCCACTTGCTATCAATATATCAGCAATGGAAGGGGGAAAAAACAGAGAGGACAGTGGATTAAGAACAACAATCTGGGAGTTGTGTAGAGACTGCTAAAAACATGGCCTCGTTTATTGGCTTCAAGGAGAATTAATTGATAAGTCATTGTTCTCCAACCATAGGATTAAATGGTCAACTAATTCAAGAAAACTGTCGATGAGTACAATGATATGCAACCAGTTCTAATTAACCACATTACTAAATAAATCACAAGAGAGGAACAACATGCTGCTCTTACCGCTAACTAAATAAATCACATGAAAAGCAAAACATGAAAGCAGAAAAACCACATGTTAATAATAATATTATCATTGTTTGGTCAAGGGTCATATGTTTCAAATTATAATAATAAAACGTCTAGCGAAGTCAGTTGTTTCTCATTAACTATCTTTCTAAAGAGGGGAAAGAGAAGAAACATTGTAGAAGACATCGCCCCGAGGGTTCGAGACATGTTCTTTGAGTCTTTTGTCTTCCCACATTCACAATCGGCAGGTGGCAACTCGTCCTCCTCTTGCACGGCCTTGTTATGCTTTTATGACGAGATTCAGCATCTCTTGACCACCATGGCAACACGAATTATAGGTCCAATGCCGAACCATTCTATCAGAAACACATAATTTCAGGCAGAACAGAAGTACCTACCTGGTTTGTTAAGATGCCCAAGGTTTGATGTGATCTGCCAAGCATCATTGTCTGTCTGCCGATTAATCAGAGGGACCCTCCTTTCCTTTCGCACTCTGAATCGGATCTACCGCAACTGCAACAGCTCAGAGCTTCAAAACTCTTTACGCAAGCATTTAATGACAATGGAAGATAAAAGATGCGGTCTCTCGATAACATCTAACAATATTATCAGCAACAGATTATGAGTCAAGGAGAAGGTAAGAATGTTAATATGACCAAAAAGGATGCAAATTACAAGCAGTAATACTAACCAAAACTCACATTCCAATGTCAGAAAATGGAGGAGCATAAGAACTTCCATGCATGGCAGCAGAAAAGGCAACTATCTGCAATTACCTCTTGGATGTTAGAAAGCCAACATCCAAATCCAGCATGTGAATGGTACCCCAACCAACCACCCTCTGGCCTGCACAAACAATTATCCAAATATTGTAGAAGAAACAACAACAACATCGCAAACTTTGTGGGGTTTTCCTCCCATATGTATGAGTTGTGTACACCTTGTATGAACATGGGTGAAGTGTTCTTGGACATGGATGAGTTGTTCTTGAACATGACTTCAAAGTGGATCAAATGATGATGTTTTTTTTCATCATTAATTTGAAGCTTTTCTTCCCTATAAATAGGGAGCTCAAGGTGCAGGGAAGATCATCACAAACACAAGAAATCCAAGCAAGAGAAAAGAGAGGAAGAAAGAAAGAGTGGGGAGAAAGAGTGAAGAAAACAGTTTGTGCAGCTGTGATCAAGTCTTCGATCGGATATCCATTTCTTGTCCGATCGATCTGAATTTTGGAGGAGAGCTTCTACACTCATTGTTCTAGATTTTGTCCAGTGGGATTTTGATTCTAACGATCAGAATCGGAGAAACGGAGTTTCTACCGAAGCTGTTCGTCACTGGAGTTTCCAGCAGCACATGTCCAAGTGATTTGGAGATTCGGATAGTCATCTCTTCTTCGTTTGAGATGAAATCGGTATGCTTATTCTAGAGCCTCTGAGTTTTTTATTTCTACGGAGAAATTGGAATTTGGTTGCCGGAATCATAAGTTACGGGTTAGCTTGCTGCCTAAGTTACAGCTTGTTCTTTCGGGTTTATTGAGATTGAATATTGGATTAATATTCTGAAGTCTCGGTTGTATCTCTTGTCTATTGGAGACTGAAGTGTGGACGTTGTAACCCAAAAATTTGAGATTATAGTGGATTTTTGGGTGGACTACGGTCCCTGGTTTTTACTCCTCACACCGAAGAGGTTTTCCACGTTAAATCGGTTGTCTCGTTTAAATTTCTGTTTTTACTAGATATTGTCATCCTACAACAAAGTGGTATCAGAGCACATTGGTTGTGCAGTGCACTTGTGTGAGTGATGGAGGCAAATACTAGTAGAATGGTTAGTTTAACGATACCAACTATCACGTATGGAAAGGCAAGATGGAGGATCTGCCATACGTGAAAGAGTGCCATCTACCGTTGTTCGTCGAGGAAAAACCAGAGGGCAAAACTGATGAGCAATGGACATTGTTACGTCGATAAGTTTGTGCCTTGATACGACAATGGGTGGATGATAACGTTTTGAATCATGTGGCTGGTGAGACTAATTCTCGGTCTTTGTGGAGCAAGCTGGAGCAGTTGTATGCTCGAAACACTGGAAATCGCAAGCTGTACTTCATCAAGAAGTTGGTCGATTTAAAGTACGCCGAAGGAAGTCCGGTGACAGATCACTTGAACGTGTTTCAAGGTCTGTTGAACCAGTTGTCTGATATGGGGATCACTTTTGAAGATGAGGTTAAGAGTTTATGGCTTCTTAGCACACTTCCGGATTCATGGGAGACATTTAGGATGTCGTTGTCGAATTCAGCTCCAGACGGTGTCATCTCGATGGAATATGCGAAGAACAGTATTCTAACTGAGGAGACGCGGAGACAATCTCAAGGAGCTTCCTCGAGTTCTGATATTCTGGTATCTGAATCGAGGGGGAGGAGCCATAATCGGAATCCGAAGGAGAAGAATCGGAGCAGGAGCAAATCCAATAAATTTGCAAATGTGGAGTGTCACTATTGCCACAAGAAAGGGCATATCAAGAAGGATTGCTGGAAATTGAAGAAAGACAACAAGAAAGGAAAAAACAACAAGACGGCGAGGAACAGGTTGCAGTTGCAAGACATGAGTTTCTGATCATGATCGATGGTGAAATGATCAACCTCGCATGCCATGAGACTGTTGGTTTAGTGCTCTATGATGTACTGTTTATGAGCTTTATTTAGATACATTTGATGTATTGATACTTTCTATGGTTTATGAGAGTATTTGATTCATTACATGTTCTTGCATACTAGATGTGTTATGAAATCCATGTATCATTATGAATGATACTTAACTCCCTAGTCTTGTGTCATTATGGGAATGATGACATAATAAGACTAGTATGATGTGTGATTGATGATCACATAGATGATCATAGGTATTGGATACGATCACAATCATAGGTATTCGTTGGAGAACGGAATACCGGATTGACCCGCATGAGATTGTCACATGGACTAACGTCATGACTTGAATCTCATATGACGATTCCATGATTGGATCCTAAGACCTGAGATATCTACAGAATCCAACATGAGGAGTTGCGTGCTTTGAACACGTCAAACGTCCTGCGTAACAGGAGGACTATAAAGACGTGTATCAGGTAC